CTATAGTGCCAGTCAGCGTTAAAGTGTAGAATTAACAGTGTAGCAAGTAAGTTAAGCAATTAAACGATAAAAGAACGACACAAAAGTAACTCTCCAATATTGCTGGATGTGTATCTGGCCCTTGAACATACGCCGGCCTGCTACGTATCTTCCACCACCCTAAACCTCTGCCAGCATCTCCTCCAAGGTAAGTGTAAATATAAAAGTGTAAGTATAAAAGTAAATATAAGTGTAAATATAAAAGGACCTCAATGGAATACGCAAGTCACTCTGACTTTTTTGGGTTATCCTAGGTACTTTACACATATGCTGCTATATATGATAATCTATGTATGTAACTGTATTTGTGTATACCTGAATAAACTTACTTATTTATAAATTAAAATGTAAATATTTCTTATTTATAAATTATGTACATTAAGTGTGAACAGTGGTGGCAGGTTCTGCTGGTGCCTCCACCACCACCACTATGTACTTCTCTCAGTGGCCCTCATAAACCCAACAACAACACTTCCATTACTTACTCCTCACATATATTATGACATATTTTATTCATTCTAGAGTATATATCATGTTTCTATGTTATTAATATTGTTTATTGTGTCATATTAGATGAATTGTGATAGATAAATAAACCGTAGAGATGATTCTAGCTTCATATTGAAGGATAATAAACTCATCTCCCTCTCGCCTCCTACCTGTCTTCCATACACCAACAAGAGTCAATAAAGGTAAGTGTGATGTTAAATGTTCATATATCCATTTTATTAGTGCTTTATATTTATTTGTCATTGTTTTCTGTATGTATATCTGTATTTAATCTTAAAAAAAAAATATTTTTTGTTAATACTTTGGCTGTCTGAAACGGATTAACTGAATTTTCATTATTTCTTATGGGCAAAAGCGGTTAAAGGCAAGCTCTCCGGAATGGATTAATGCTGTTACCCGAGGGTTCACTGTATTTGGAAATCGTAATGTTTTTTTGTCAAAATATTGGTTCAATGATCGTCACTGAGCTCGGTAATAGTCATTCGTCCTGAACGTGTCCGCATGACAACAGTGGCCCGACACTCAGTGTGACATCGTTTATCAGCCAGTAAGCATGATCCCATGCGTTCATACGATACATTTCGCATTACATGTATTCCATTCTTTTTAGTGCTTGCAACTGCTAAATAAGCCACCATGGGCCCAAAGAAGGTTCCTAGTGCCAGCCAGCCTTTTGGTAAAGGGCTGAGAGAGAGGGGAGAATGTGCCTTCTTCAGTGATTCTGCGATATGTATGATACTAAAGCAGCAAGAGTCAAAGGCTATAGCACCAGCCAGCGATAAAGTGCACCATTAACAGTGTAGAAAGTACGTTAAGCAATTAATCGACAGAAAAAGGACAGCATGAAACTGACTCCTCCAATGTTGTTGGAGGTATATAGGGCTACTGACTAACACTGCCGCCATCACCACCACTATGTAAGGCTTATCTTTCAGTGGCCCTTATACACCCAGCAACAAACAACACAACACTCGTCGGTTAGGGAGAGAGAGATATATGACATAATTTATTCATTCTAGAGTATATATCATGTTTCTATGTTATTAACCCTTTGACTATCACAATCCCAAATCCTGAAGTGTCTCCTGGTGTCGAAAAATTTTTGGAAAAAAAAAAAAAAAATTCTTATGAAATGATAAGAGAATCTTTTCCCGATGGTAATGACACCAAAAGTACGAAATCTGATTGAAAACTTATGGATTTACGCTCCTGCAAAGTTAGCAATCTCAGCAATATATACGCATCAGTGATTTCGCCGACTCTGAGCCCTATTTTCGGTCAATTCCATTGTTCCAGACGACCAAACTCATAGCTATTTCTTTAGAACTCCATTTTTTCTATCAAGTGAGTACAAGAAACCGCCCATTTACCGATTTCATCTACCCATATCATAAAAATCTTTGAGAGGGTTCTAAGAAGCAAGATAGCCAACCACCTAGATACCCATCAATTACACAACCCAGGGCAACACGGGCTTAGAACAAGTTGCTCCTGCCTGTCCCAGCTACTGGACCACTATGACAAGGTCCTGGATGATGTAGAGGATGAAGTATACACAGATGTAGTATACACAGACTTTGCAAAAGCTTTCGACAAGTGTGACCATGGTGTAACAGCACACAAAATGCAGGATAAAGGAATAACGTTAAAGTTGGTAGACGGATCTACAACTTCCTGATAAATAGAACACAAAAAGTAATAGTAAACAGAGTAAAGTCCCAGGCAGCCATGGTAAAAAGCTCTGTTCCACAAGGCACAGAACTCGCTCCCATTCTATTCCTCATCCTCATTTCTGACATAGACAGAGATGTAAGCCATAGCTCCGTGTCTTCCTTTGAGGATGACACCCGGATCACCATGGCAGTGACCTCCATCGAAGACACTGAGAGACTCCAAGCGGGCATCAACCAAATCTTCAAATGGTCCACTCAAAACAATATGAAGTTCAACAAGGAGAAATTTCAACTACTCAGATACGGAAAGCTTGAAGAAATTAAAAATATGTCAGGGTATACCACAAATTCTAACAATACAATAGAGCGGAAAAGTAATGTGAAGGACCTGGGAGTGATAATGTCAGAGGATCTTGCCTTCAAAGACCACAACAATGTATCTACCTCATCCACTAGGAAAATGATAGGATGGATAATGAGAACCTTCAAAACTAGGGACGCCAAGCCCATGATGTCTCTCTTCAAATCGCTTGTGCTCTCTAGGTTGGAATACTGCTGTACACTGATGGCCCCCTTCAAGGCTGGCAACATTGCAGACCTGGAGAGAGTACAGAGAACTTTCATGGCACACATAAGTGTGATAAGGCACCTAAACGACTGGGAACGGTTGAAGGTCCTTGATCTGTATTCCCTCGAATGCAGGCGAGAGAGATACATGATAATATACACTTAGAAGGTCCTGGAGGGATTGGTACCAAACTTGCACACGAAAATCACTCCATATGAAAGCAAAAGACTCGGCAGGAGATGCAACATTCCTCCGATGAAAAGCAGGGGTGCCACAAGTACAATGAGAGACAACACAATAAGTGTCCGGGGCCCCTTACATATGCCTCCAGCATACATAAGGGGGATTACCAATAGAATCCTGGCTGTCTTCAAGAAGGCACTGGACAGGCACCTAAAGTCAGTACCTGACCAACCGGGCTGTGGTTCGTACGTCAGCTTGCCTGTGGCCAGCAGTAACAGCCTGGTTGATCAGACCCTGATTTTTTATTCACACAAAAATAGAAGATTTACTGTTATGCAGACTACTTCATTATTGTAAAAATGGTATAAATAATGTCAGTGCACCAGTGAAAGAATATTGGACTCCCCAGTTGACGTGTATTGGACGTGTGGTGTGATTAGCTTACTCTTGAACATTGGTAAAAATCGAACATTTCTGCTACTTTGAGCTCAATTTCAAGGTAGTTTTCATCATGAAACTAATCAAAATCATCTCTATTTCTGTAGTATGTTTTCCATTCTATCAAATGAGACTAAGAAAACAAGAATACAACCATAAATACTATAGGAAAATACACCTCAAAGTCGGCATTTTAATCCAAAAACATGGTCAGAGTTTTTTCTCTCTCATTATGCACTGCGTGCTTAAGGATTTTTTTTATGTGGTGCACACTGACCACACAGACCCATTCTCTCACATGTGGGCCTACCAGCTTTTTCCTGCTTGACTTGAAGCCGCTAGAATTATTGAGTATACGTATATACGTTCGAAACACTGGCTCGTAAGACGTACATATACGGCCGAAACAGTCAAAGGGTTAATATTGTTTATTATGTCATATTAGATAAATCGTGCTAGAAAAATAAACTGTAGAGTTGCTATTAGTGTCATACTGAAGGACTATCTTGTCCTGTCTCCCAACACACTCCCCTGCTGCTGCCACAATTCCTAACATACACCAGAAACAGACCTCTCTGGAACACTTTTTTAAGCAACAGGGGTTCAGTGACTCAAGCTGGTCCTAGTGACATTAGAAAAACAAAAAAGGGAAGTAACCCTGGAAAAGGACTTTGTACCTCCAGTCTTTATGGAAGGGGATTAACCTTCCAAACAGTAATTTCTCCATCCACTCCCCTCCTCTGATCTTCAATACACTATGAAGAGTCTTCAATAAAGATAAGTGTCATGTTATTATTGTTTTATTCTTCATGTCTCATTGTTTTGTGTGTGGGTAAATATATATTTCATGTGTGTGGAATGGATGAATTGGATTTACATTATTTCTCATGGGGAAAATGAATTTAGAAATCATCAAATTCAGCTGTAGACACACTCTCTGGAAAGGATTAATTATGATAACCGAGGGTACACTGTACATGCATTGTATAATTATACTACTGCTATCAATCAAGGTTACCTATCATATTTATTCCAGAATAATATTAGGTATAACAAAAATAATGCAGAAGCATGATAAAGATGCCCAAATTAATAAAAACTGACATTATATGGAGAGGTACTGAAGGATGGGCGGTAGGGAGGAAAAAAAAAAATGACCATTACAGAAAACATTACGTGCTATGCACTTGAGATAACTATAGATCACTCTTATCCTATGCAAAGACTGAAAAAAGTGCAATTTTCTCAAAAAAAAAATTTTTTTCCAAGTATGTAATCAGCTATGCGTGCGTTTCCTGGAATATCTCGGAAGTAAGTTATTTACCTACTTCATGTTGTATTACCGTTAATAATGAACAGATTGAAAGGATTTTCACAGTAAACATAAAACTGAATGTTTTAATTTCGGGTGGTGAGAGTTTTGAAGTATCAGTAAATATCAGTTAGGCTGTACCTAAAATGTGGCTAATACACACACACACACACACACACACACACACACACACACACACACACACACACACACACACACACAAAAAAAAAAAAAAAAAAAAAAAAAAAAGCATTAAGAAATACAAAATGCAGCTCACCTGTTTGTTCCTTGGGGTACATCCTGTATCAACGACAATTTTCATGATATGACCTGTTATCTTTGCATTTTTCAATGTGTTTGTATAACACTGATCTTGCAGAATTTCATATATCTGTTTATACCCAGAATCTTTCATTTGTTTTATAAGACTACTGTGCACTTTGGTGTCAGGTAATTTGTAATCACTCAAGTGGTTTATTAAATCTTGAAGTAAGGTTGCAATTCCAAGTCTTTTATTTGAAACAAGACTAGGAAATGTTTCTGGTAATGTGTATGAGCTCAAAAGAGATTGTTTGTAGGTGTTCCCTTGAGACAAATTACAAAATCCTTTCTTTAGATGGTTGCGGAGACAACTAGCAGTCAGTTGTGGCTTACAGCAAACACAACAAATGAATATAACTTTGTGTTTCTGAGAATACTTTTTTAATGTTCTATGATGCAAGGGCTTTGTATCACGCGTTTCATACTGGATAGTTGTATTACAATCATTTGAGCCATGGCTAGCTATATGTTTATTGGCTAACAAATGTTTATTGAACATTTTACAGCATACTGGGCATTGATAGATATGACCTCTTTTATTTTGCTCCAAGTTCTTTCTCCGTAAGCATAATAAGTATGTTAATCCTTCTTCATTGCGATGATTAAGATAAATATGACTTTTAAGAGAATTTGAGGTACTATATGGTCTTTGACATAACTTACAAATATGTCTACTTGGACTGTGCGTTTCCAAATGATCTCTGTAGTGAGCTTTAATTCGAGCTTTAAAATCACACTTATCACAGGCATATAAGTTTTGCGTATGATTACGATAATGGGAATAAAGTGCACCAACATTTGTGGTTGCAAAGTCACAATCAGGACAACTGAATGCTTTTCTAGACATGTGCTTAGCACAGTGCCTTCTGCATGATAACAAGGTCCTAAATAGGACCTTGCATTCTCGACATGCATACATCACCATTCCACGTTTATCTGGTATCTCTCTCTCTGGGCTAACTTTATCAATAATGCTATCCACAAAACTCAAGTCAACCTGGGCTATCCATTTGTGAAGCCGCTCTTGCTGTCTTGGGTTAGAGAAAAGTGGTAAGGTGGGAATTGAGTGGAGTGAAGGCAGTCCTACTTTTGCTTTAGGTATTACTCTAAGACCTCTTCTTGCCATACTTGACTTTATGCAGGAATTAGTATCTGCACTTTGAAGTAGTTCGGAATCTTGCAAAAATTTGACATTTTCATCACTTCTGGGTTTGTCTTTGTCATCAGTAGCTTGATTCTGAATTTCCGACCCTTGCTCCAAGCAATTTTCATTAGACCTGTAAAAGAAAACTAATAATTATCAATGAGGTTTATTACACTATTATTAGTTAACAAAATCAACAATTATACTGAACATAATACAGAAATAATATGTGGTATGAGGGTTTCATAATTCAATGAGAAATAATACTATAATACTTCATGAGAAATAGTAATACAGTACTATTTATACCAGAAAGCATTAACGCTTTGAGGGTTTCGGACGTACTAGTACAGCTTACGTGCAGGGGTTTTTGACGTACTAGTACACATAAATTCTAGCGCTGTCAAATCTCGCGGGAAAAGGCTGGTAGGCCTAGATGTGAGAGAATGGGTCTGTGTGGTTGGTGTGCGTGGTAGAAAAAAATCTGGGACCCAGTGGTGCATTGTGGGAACGCCATCTTAGTAAACAATGTCCACCATGCCTCGCAGTAAGAAGCTCCTCACTCCTCGGCGAATTGGGACACTTTTGTTCCCCAGTGACAGTTCTAATACAGATGGAAGTGCCAGTGAAGATGAGTTTCAAGGTTTTGGTGAGGTTTTGACCGAAACTAATGATCATAATATCGGTAATAGTGAGGAAAACCCAGACGACCCTCAGCCTTCCACCTCTGGTGCTGGGCCGTCTTGTTCACGTTCAGTTGTACCAGAATCCAAGAGGAAACTTCTATTTTCCCAAATCCCAGACTCAGATGAGAGCATGTGTGATGATAGTGATAGTGAATATGAACTACAAGCTCTTCAAACTAGTTCCAGTAGTGATAGTGAAGTGCAATATTCCCCAGTGAAGCGTCAGTATATACGACGATATATGCGCTCTGGTAGTGTGCCATATGCTATTCCAAGGGGAAGGAGTGCATCTTGGAGTACATCCCATGGCTGTACAACAGGAACAGACAGTGAAAATGACGATGATACTGTTGCAATTGGGATGGAAAATGTGAGTGTTGGTAGTGGTGCTGGCGGTGAGGCACCAGCAGTGGGCCATGCTGCCACCCACGCTGCTGCCTCAGCTGATCTACAACAAAGGCCACCATCCCCCACCCACCCACCACACCAGCCTCCACAACCACAACCTCCACAACCACAACCTCTACAACCACAACCACCTGTCATTGTCCAGTACCCACCAGCAGACCACACCTGGGATTGGCAGGGAGCTGTCAATTTTGTTCCAAATGCCCACCAGTTTGATGACAGCCAAAGTGGAATACGGCCATCTTGTACACTTGGGAACAATGCCACTGAACTGGAATGTTTCGAGTTATTCTTTGACGAACCCCTGATGGAAAGTATTGTCATGGAAAGCAACACATACTACGAGTACACCATGGCAAACACATTACTTTCACCAAAAACACGTCTACACCAGTGGAAGGAGGCGACTGTGGCTGAGATGTATCTTTTCTTTGCCACAATAATGCTTATGCCAATGTGTATAAGCACAAAGTGAAATCATACTGGTCAACAGACCGCCTGATTGCAGCCCCAGGTTTCAGTGAAATAATGCCAGTGAATCGATTTGTGCTAATGTTACGTATGCTTCACTTCTCAGACAAAACCAGGCCTGACAGAACTGACAGGTTATATAAGATTAGGAATGTGTTTGTGTATCTGAAAGAGAAATTCAGTACGCATTTTTATCCCTTCAGGAAGCTTGTAATTGACGAGTCTTTGATTCTGTTCGAAGGAATACTCTCTTTCAAGCAGTACATACCAAGCAAGAGGAAACGCTTTGGTATAAAGTTGTTTGTGCTTTGTGATTGTTACAGTGGTCTGGTATTGGATATTATTGTGTACACTGGAAGTTATACATTGCAAAATACAGTGGTCCCTCGCTTTTCGTAGTTCTCGGGAATCGTAAATTTCGCCAATCATAGGGGTATTTTCGTATAAACATGGACTCACTTTTCATAGGTTGACTCGCGAATAGTAGTTCGTCCAGGACGCTTACGCACAGTGTGAGCCGGGGAGGCCTCCCTACCCAGCCAGTCTGGCATTGTTTACCAGTGTGTGAAGGTCCCTTCAAGTGCTCCTACGAAATATTTCATAATATTCCACTCATTTTAGTGCTTGCAAGTACTAAATAAGCTACCATGGCTCCAAAGAAAGTCCTAGTGCCAAGCCTGTGGTAAAGAAGGTGAGAAATATGTACAGTGACAAAGGTCTTGTACCATTTTAGGGGAAATGTTTAAAAAGACGTCAGAAACAGAGATCTTCCACAGTTACTTTGCGAGACAAGACTAGAGGACTCTCAAGGTGGTCCTAGTGCATTAAGAAACAGAGAAGAGAAGCAACCCCAGAGAAGCAATTGGTACCTGAGGTGTTGCTGGAAGGGGATTCCCCTTCCAAACTGTAAACAATCCAATCTCTCTCCTCCTCCAGTCTCCCATACACTAAGAAGAATCTCCAATAAAGGTAAGTGTTATGCTGTTAATGTTTCATTCATCATTTCCCATTGTATTGTTTATGTACTACATGTATATTTCATGTAAAAAAATTTTTGGTTTTAATACTTCTGAGTGTCAGAAACGGATTAATTGTATTTACATTATTTCTTATGGGGAAAATTGATTTGCAAATCGTAAATTTCATTTATAGTAGCTCCTCCAGGAACGGATTAATTACGAAAAACAAGGGACCACTGTACCAGGAAGTTATTGGGCATCTCAGGTGATGTGGTTAGAACAATGATAGAACCATACCTTGGTAAGGGGCATATATTATATACAGCTAACTGGTACACAAAACCCTCACTCAGTGATTTTTTGTGAGTGAACATGACAGATGTGTGTGGCACAGTGCGTGCAAATCGGAAACATATGCCCAGGTTTGACGCTGGCACTCGTAGAGGTGAGGTGCAGGCGTTCGCTGCCAATGACATCATGGCATTTCGGTGGCATGACAAATGAGATGTCACACTGTTGTCATCAGTTCACCCTAATGAAATGGCAGACAGTGGCAGGCAGCAAAGAGAGAGCAATGAACCCATTCTAAAACCTGCAGCTGTGATTGATTACACCTTCAACATGCGTTCAGTGGACAAATGTGACATGCAGATTGGGTTTGCTGATTGTGTTCGCAAGAGTTATAAGTGGTACATCAAACTGTTTTTCCATCTTCTGGACATTTCCATGCTCAATACTTATAATATGTATAAGATGAGGACCAGAAACAAACCACAGTATGGCGAATTCTGTTTGTCTGTCATCAGACAAATAGTATTCAAGTACCAAGGAACAGCACCTGCAATTGACCGCCCACCAAATTATCAACAACTACCTGCTCGTCTGAAGCATGGTGATCACTTCCTGGTAAAACTGCCTGCTACTGCTTTCAAGAAAAAGGCTCAGAAGAGGTGTTACGTCTGTGCACATACAAAAAAACGCCCACAACAACGCAGAGACACTCATTTTATGTGTGAGGAGTGTAAAACACCACTGTGCATGACACCATGTTTCAAAGAGTTCCACAGGCTGCAGAACTTCTGGAAACATTCCCTGCGACTGTATATGTGTATATAAAATATAGAAAAATAGTAATAAACAACATTTCATATCGTTTGTTTGTGTAAATATTTTCTATAAACAAAATAATGACAACAGTGTTTACGCCCTTATTGTGTAGTATTGAAAAAGAAATAACTTACAAAATAATGATCATGTTGGCCTCAGAGGCCATAAAAGTTTCTCAGAAAAAGAAAAATTGAAAAATAATTGAAAATAGTACATAAAAAAGTAAATAGAAAAATACCGGGCGACGGCAGTCGGCGATGTTACCAGATGTTGTTTAATTTTGGCAAACTTCACGCCTCCATATCTCGGTAAGTATTGGCGGTAAAATTTTTTTGTTTAACCTATAATGTGTAGAAAAAAAAAAACTATATTTTTATAAGAAAAAATAATTTTTTTTTTTTTAAATTTGGCCGACCCTGAGAACGAGTTTCTGAGAGGGCCTGTCGACCCTCAAAGGGTTAATTAGTTTAATAGTTTTATTATGCATTGCATACCCATCCTGTGAATGGTAGTCAAAAGGCTACAAAGTCACATAGTGAACCTGAGGACTGGCCCCCACCCATTTAAGATCTAAATGAGTTATAGTAGTAATGAACTATTTACAAATTTATGAACTGTTTACAAAAGTGAGTTCTTTATAGTTATAAATTCAGTCACAAAACTGTTACAATATTTAGCATGATATGATTAAATTTAGGCAAGTCAGACTAGTTATGATTAATTTATAATAAGCAAAATCAGGTTATTTTTCCAGAACTGTTTTTGATACATCTTTTACAGTTTGAGAGTTTTTATACTCCCACATCCCAGCCCTGGGCCAGGTTTGGCTGATGCTTGCTTGGTCAACCAGACTGTTGTTGCTGGCAGTCTGCTGGCCCAGAGCCTGGTTGATCCAGCATTTGGAGGGGATACTTGTTGAGTTTCCTCTTGAAGACTTTTATGCACATTCCTGAAGATTTTCTTATATTTCTGGCAGCAAGTTCAACACTCTAAGCCAATGAATACTGGTAGTGTTCTCTCACTGGGTTTATTGCACATTTTCTCCCTTAGCTTTCACTCCATGATCCCGTCATGTTAGAGATCACAGTTATCTTACTGACTGGTCCTCTTGTTGCAGCATCCCTTAAACACAACTTTTCTAATATAAATCTTAGTCCTGTCTTTCTCTCTGTAATGCCTTTCTTTCTCATTACATTGTCAAATCCTCCAAACTTCAAAACACTTGTGACTTGGCCTGATCTTTATCTCCTCTCTTATATTTTCTTTCCCTTTCTTTTCTTCTGCCTAGAGGTTCCATCCTATGGGTTTTCTTCCCTGGGTTTTTGTCCTACCCTCATGGGCCATTAGCTCTCCTGAAGTCTTCCTTTTTCTTTTTTCTCATGTTCTTAAACTACCTCCACTATTCACTAACAATCCCCTCTCTGATCCTTGTTTCACTACCATTACTACCTTTTTATTGCCATCTCTGCCACTGTTGCAGTACTTCTACTACTAATATAATA